CTGCATTATCTATGTACTTCTTTCCAAAAAGGACTTAATGTGTCTAACAAGAAAAGTCACAAACTACTAGTATATAAAATAAAAAAGAAAGAAAAAGCAAAATCAGGATATAAAATTTGACAAAGATTTCAGAAATAAAACAACTTTTTCTCAGCTTTATGAAACATCGATATTAGGGGAAGCAAAATAACTTATGTATCTCTGACTATGGAAAAGGAAGAAACATTCTTTCTTAGGAAACCCCAATGTGGTGCTGTTATATGAATTTCAATAAAAATCCTTTCTTTATAGACAGAAAAGTCAATCAGCATTCTTTTATTTGAAAAAAAGCAGTGAGGAGGGTCCAAGATGGCAACTAGGGTGCAGAAGCAGACAGAGTGAGCTCCATAAATCAAAAATCTTGCTGAGATGCTGGAGCTATACTTGCAGAAATAAAGCACCAAGAAGTATCAAAATTTCAACACCTTGAACCCCTAGCCTGTAGAAAGGTTCTCCACACCATGATACACTGAGAAAACAGAAGGTCTCCTGCACCACCAGACACCACCTCCAACCTGCATGGGAGACATTGGACAGACCAAACAGGTGAATGCCAAGCATTGTGCAGTACTCCCCCAGTCACCCCTGGGATAAACCAGCATAGCCCCCTGGGCAGACAGACCCCCCCACCCTGCAAAAAAAAAAAGCTGAACAATAAATAAAGAACTGAAAACTAACTCACAGCAGAGGGAGCGGGGTTCTGTAGTGCACCGGAGAAGAAAGGAGGGGTAAGATGCTGATCTCCATGCCAACTTTCAGTAAACAAAAGCTGGAAAGGCAGAAAAGCCAACATTGGGTCGGTGATAAGCTGCTGCCTGAAATTAGGGCAGGTAGCAGTCGGCAAAGCTCATATCCTGAGCCAGTGAGCAACATCCAAAGTCAAATAGCACTGTAAATTTGAACAGCAATCAGCAAACCATCACAACACACTGACAGCAGGAGGCCTGCAGACAGATCACGGACCTTGCCCCAGAAAAAGGGGGTGAGGCAAAGAAACAAGCCCCCAGTAAACCAACACAGTGAAAACCCAGCACCAAAGCAGGACGGCTGATGGTCCACAGAGCTTATCCCCTAAACCTGAGGACAAGCCAGACCTCACTGAGGGAGGAGCTGACTAAGCAGCTGCCACTGAAAGACAAAAGAAAAACTGGCCAGTCTCCCCAACCACCTGACTAGACTAAGACAGAGCTTCTGCTTAAATACCAACACCAGGACTGGATGCTGAAGCAGTAACATCTGAACTACTAAGACTGAAATTCTATTGTTTCTGAACCTGGAGTTTTTTTGTGGACAGAAGCTCAGAACTTGAAGATAAAATGGAAATTAAAGGAAAAACTGAAGAGCTATTAGTCAGACAACTCAAGACCTATGAAAGGAATATGCAAGAAAACACCAACTCCATCAAAAGATCAAACCTGAGAATAATGAAGAAGGAGAAGAGGTACAAGCAAAAAGGATTTGTAATATATTCAACAAAATAATAACAGAAAATTTCCCAGATCTAGAGAAAGGTATGAAACCTCCAGGACACCAAATAGACTTGACAAAAATAGAACTACCCCACAGCATATTATCATTAAAACAACTAGCACAGCAACTAGAGAAAGAATATTGAAGGCTATAAGACAGAAAAAAACAAATAACATACAAAGATAAACCCATCAAAATCACAGCGGATTTTTCAGTGGAAACCTTAAAAGCAAGAAGAGCATGGAGTGAGGTATTCCGGGCACTGAATGAAAATAACTTCAACCCTTGGAAACTCTACCTAGCAAAACTATCATTCAAAATAGACGGAGCAATGAAAGTCTTCCACAATAAGTAGAAACTAAAACAATATATGACCACCAAGCCACCACTACAAAAGATTCTCCAAGGAATTTTGCACACTGAAAATTAAAGCAAACACAAAACCATTAAAGGACAGGCAGCACCAAACCACAGAAGAAGAAAAGTCAAGGAATCAGAGAGTAGCATTGATTCAGCTGCACACAATCAAACCCTTAAACAGCAAAGACAACTAAATGACAGGAGTCACCACATACCTATCAATACTAACACTGAATGTGAACAGACTAATTCCCCAACAAAAGATACCACTTGGCAAACTGGATTAAAAAGGAAGATCCAATATCTGTTGTTTGCAGGAGATCCATTTCATTGACAGAAACAATCACTGGCTTAGGGTGAAAGACTGGAAGAAGATTTACCAAGCCAATGGCAGGAATAACAATACTTGATCATCTCAATAGATACAGAAAAAGCCTTTGACAAAATCCAGCACCTTTTCATGATAAAATCTCTAAGAAAAGTAGGAATAGAAGGAATGTACCTCAACATTGTAAAGGCTATATATGACAAACCTATAGCCAACATCATACTTAATGGAGAAAAACTGAAACCATTTCTCCTAAAATCAGGAACGAGAAAGGGTACCCACTATTCCCACTCCTATTCAACACAGTACTGGATTTCCTAGCCAGAGCAGTTGGGCAAGAAGAAGAATAAAAAGAACACAGATAGGTAAAGAAACTGTCAAAATATCCCTACCTGCAGACAACATGATCCTATATCTTAAAGACCCAAAATCTCTACCCCAAACCTCCTAGATACCATAAACAGCTACAGCAAGGTGGCAGGATACAAAATCAACTTACAAAAATCAATAGCATTTCTATACACAAATGAGCGAATTAAGAAAGAATATATGGAAACAATTCCATTTACAATAACCTCAAAAAAAAATCAAATACCCAGGAATAAACTTAACAAAGGATGTGAATAACCTCTACAAGGAGAGCTACAAAACCCTAAAGAAAGAGATCGAGGAAGACTACAGAAGGTGGAAAGGTCTCTCGTGCTCATGGATTGGTAGAATCAACAGTAAAAATGGCTATACTACCAAAAGAAATCCACATGTTTTATGCAATTCCCATCATATTCCCAATGACATTCATCACAGATATTAAAAAATCTACCCTAAAGTTCATTTGGAAGCACAAGATTCTGCAAATAGCCAAGGCAATACTCAGCAAAAAGGGCAAAGCTTAAGGTATCACAATACCTGACTTCAAACTATATTACAAAGCAATAACAATAAAAACAGCATAGTACTAGCACAAAAACAGAAATGAAGACCAGTGGAACAGAATAGAGGACCAGGATATGAATCCACACAACTATCCCCACCTTCTTTTTGACAAAGGCACCAAAACCATACAATGGAGAAAAGACTGACTTTTCAACAAATGTTGCTGGGAAAAGTTGTTATTTGCTTGCAAAAACCTGAAACTAGATCCATGTTTATCACCCTGTACTAGTATCAACTCAAAATGGATAAAGGACCTTAACATCAGATCTGAAACTCTATAGTTAGTACAGGAAAGAGCAGGGAATACTCTAGAAGCAATAGTTATAGGCAAGAACTTCCTCAATAGAACCCTGCAGCTCAGCAACAAAGATATAGGATGGACAAATGGGACTTCATAAAACTAAAAAGCTTCTGCACAACAAAAGAAATGGTCTCCCACAGAGTGGGAGAAAATATTTGCCAGCTACACATCAGACAAAGGACTGATAACCAGAATATACAGGAACTCAAAAAACTAAACTCTCCCAAAATCAATAAACCAGTAAAGAAATGGACAACTGAACAAAACAGAACTTTTTCAAAAGAAGAAATTCAAATGGTCAAAAAAACACATTTAAAAATGCTCACCATCTCTAGCCATAAAGTAAATGCAAGTCAAAACCACACTAAGATTCCACCTCACCCCTGTTAGAATAGTCATTATCAAAAACACCACCAACAACATGTGTTGGTGAGAATGTGGGGAAAAAGGAAATCTTGTACACTGCTGGTGGAATGCAAGCTAGTGCAACCACACTGGAAAACAATATAGAGGCTTCTTAAAAATCTAAACATAGATCTACTATATGATCCAGCAATCCCACTCCTAGGGATATACCCAAAGGAATGAGACTCAGGTTACTCCAGAAGCACCTGCACACCCATGTTTATTGCAGTGCTATTCATAATAGCCAAGTTATGGAAACAGCCAAGATGCCCCACCACTGATGAATGGATTAAGAAAATATGGTATTTATACACAATGGAGTTTTACTTAGCCATGAAGAAGAGTGAAATCTTATCATTTGTAAGTAAATGGATACAACTGGAGAACATCATCCTGAGGGAGTTTAGCCAGGCTCAAAAGATCAAAAATCATATGTTCTCCCTCATATGTGGACTTTAGATCTAGGACATATGCATCAATGTTGTTGGATTTGGGTCACACACTAAGGGGAGAGCACATACAGGAAGAATGGGGATAGGTAGGAAATCCTATACTTGAAAGTTTTTGATGTCCCCACTGCAGAGGAGCTAATTCAGTAGCCTTAAAATGACAGAGGTCAATATGGGAAGGTTACTGGGAAGTAGTGAAGAGGTCAGGTAGAGATGAATCAATTCTGGTTGTAATATATTTGTGCATGGAAGCAGTGCTAGAAATCTCTGTATAGCTATCCTTATCTCAGCTGGCAAAAACACTTTGTCTTTCTTATTATTGCATATACTTTCTTCAACAAAATTGAAGAAAAGGGCAGAACAGTTTCTGCCTGAAAGCTACGGGGGTGGGGATGAGAGAGAGGGGGTGGGGGGCAAGGGGGAGATATGGACCAAACCATGTATGCACATATGAATAAATGAATAAAAAAAAGAGATTGAAACAGTCATGAGTTTCTGGTGAGGAAAAAAAATATATGATTTGTAGGGAAGGCAAGAATGATGTTCAAAACTAATAAAATCATAGCATGGGACTTGGGCTTGAACTCCAGGTATCACATTTGCTGGGAAGGCACTCTACAGCTTGAGTTCTTCAGGTTTTTGCTGAAGTTAATCTGGAAATAGTGTCCAGGATGACCTGTACCCCATCATTCCCAGTTTTTTTCCATTATTATAGGGGTTTCCTCAGAGAGGAGTTTTGCTCCTTGGGACCCTCAGCAGCCTCAGAGTTCAAATCAGGGGTGAGCTGGACACCCAGGGTCAGACAGAGGCTTTTACCCTGAAGACACCTGGTACCCTGTCTGTGCTGCCCACAGTCTGGGCCCAATCAAAAGCACTGGGGAACCCATCCCTGCTCCACCAAGATGAACTGATGGTGGCAAAGACCTTTAGGAGCCTGGACTCTGTGGGCCACTGGGTCTCCCAGTCCAACACTGCCCTGCCTAGGCACAGACTTTGCTGGGCCTCCAAGGACATGGCACAGCCAGGTGAGAAGAATGGATTTCACCCAAGGGTTATGGAGGCCCTTAGGGGCTTGGAGAGCTGGAAAGGCTGTCTAGGCATCATGACACTGCACCATCATTTTAGGCTATCAAACTGTTCAGATGTGTGTCTAATTGGATGAGACCACACCCTGTCCATACAAGGAGCAGTGAAGGCCAAGGGTCCTAGAAATGTGAGTGGAAACCCATAGAGAGTGGGTACAAGCTTGGCTGCCATGGGGTGTTGGTCTTGGTTCAACAGGAGAGAAATTAGAATGACAGGCCACATTTGCCGGTTGGAAATACCCACCAGAGAGTTAGCAGTCTGTGGAGATTGCCTGTGTGTACAAATATAAAAAGATCTGATCTCAACCCTCCTTCCCCCAACCTTTTAATAACATCTGGACATTCTGAATGTAAAGGTTGGAGAGATATGATAAATTAGAGGTAGAAAAGGACAGGTCTTAGAAATATCCATGTGTTTTTAAAGGTCATAGAAATGTCTTCTGAAAGTGACTTTTGGAAAGGAGTTGTTAGACCACCCCCAGAAGAGACAACAGGAGAGACACTGGTCCTAGTGTGTTGAGTGGGTTAGGAGATGTACATGAAGCAGATGACCATGATGAGAAAGAGAAAGGTCCAGATTGATCAGATAGAGAAGACATTTTTTGAATTACAAACATTGCTTTGTGTGTGCACCTTAGTCTTCACTACTGTATACCATAGTTGACTATGCTAAGTACTTTTTTGAAATATCTAGCCTTTTAAGATGTTCTGAAGTGCCTAATGTGCTTTTAAAGTAGGAGTAGTAAAATAACACATTTTGTAAATATATTTAAGTTAAAATTCATATGAATGTTACTTTTGGGGAAATAGTCAAACCCCTAGAATTATATGTATTGTTAGTGCCCTGGTTCCCAGGAGGAGGAAATGCCAAGAGCATTAAGCCAGTACTTTTATTAAGGAAGAGTAAACTCCTAGGAAAATCTGTCATCTGAAAATCTGAGCATTATAGCCCACTGGGTTGTTAGAGAAAGCTTCTAGGCTAGAATGCTCATATTTAGAAGACACTTTCAGGTTACAACTTGTTACATATGTGCAGTTATTATTGAAGACTGTTGTGTACATAGTGAACAAATTGAGACCTTGCTTGAATCATGTAGTCTGTCTAGATATTTAGAAGTGCCCAATTTATGCTAAATGTAGAAGTAGTAATATAATATTTTTGCAAATTGATTTCTGCAAAACTTCATAGGAAATGCTGTGTCTGGGGAGTAAAATTATGAAACCACCTTTGTGAGCAGTATGGTAGTTACTATGTGTACTTGTTCAGTGGTTTAGAGGAAATGAGAGTTAACCAATTGCAAAAGGTACTATGCTAGTGTGTTCATACCTGGACATTTTCAGATGCCATTTTCTGTATATTTTATGTGTTTTGATTTGTTGTGTATATAGAGTATGTAATTGACAAATAAGTCCAAATTTTGCAACATCTGGTCCCTAAATGTTAAAGAAGTTGCCAGTGTATGACACAGTAGTTAGCAAAATTTGTACATTTTGTATACTTTGTGTTGAAAAGCATAGGAAAGCTTGTCCTCTATAAATGACTTTTGGATATGGATTTGTTCAAACATTTCTAAACATTAAATATTATGCCTATACTTTTCCACTGGTTTGAAGGCAGAGAGAAGGATGTGAGAAGGGAATGTTTCAGGCCAAAAAGTCACATTTAGATGATACCTCATATTACTTATTAATTAGTCCTGTGTGCATAACAGACATGTTTAAATATGAAATACCCACTCCTAGATATTTAGAAGTACTTGTTGTATTTAAAAGTAATAGTATGTGTAAATGGCTTTTTAAAAACTTAGGAAATACTGTGTTTCAAAATTGAGTTATAAAACCACTTCTGAACAGTATACTGTCTGGACTTCTTCATCAGATTGAAAAAGGTGGGCATTTTGTTAGTGTGCACTAGAAGATTTCAGCATATCCATCATCATATATATTATATGTGTTTCACTTAACTTTGGTGTGCCGTATTTATTGTGTATATACACACACAAATGAGCCCTAATTTTATAATATGCAGTCTCTAGATATTAAAGAGGTTGCCAATGCATAACAAAGTAGAGTTGGTAAACTAACACATGTTGTATACTTTGTGTTAAAATTCATAGAAAGGCTGTCTTCTGAAAAGGACTTTTGGGAAATGAAATTGTAGTATCTATAAATGACATGTGAAATTGTAACATCTATAAGTGGCACATATGTATATCACATGCTATGTAGGAGAGAAGGCCAGAAATGTTCTTACTTAGAAGACACTTTCATATATAACCATTGTTACATTCATGTAGCTAGATATTTAGCACTACTGTGTATATAGTAAATGAACTTAAATCTTTATTTTAAACATCTAATCTTTCTAGATGTTTAGAAGTGCACAAAGTTTGTTAAAAGTAGAGATAGTAAATAACACATTTTGTAGATATCCTTGTGATAAAATTCATGATGAAACCTTGTCTTTTGGAAATGGAATAATGAAAACACTTCTAAGCAATACACATTATATTTGTGCTGGCTCAAAAAGGGAGGAGGAAAAAGTACAAAGGGTTTTATACCAATGTGTGTTTGGTGAAGCAAGGTTAATAATTGTACCTTGTGTCTATGCATTTTGTTTTATTTTTCTATGTATATAATGTATATAAAAGACAGATGAGTCCTAATTTATAACATGCAGTCTTACTTCTAGATGTTAAGGTGAATGGCAGTGATGACAAAAGTAGAGTTAGTAAATTGAGTACACTTTATGTTAAAATTCATAGGAAAGACTGTTCTTAAAACCACTTAGAAAGTGAAATTGTTAAAAATCACCTGAAAATATTACAGATGCAGAAAGCTGACCATTGGGTTGATAGAGATGGGAAGGGATCTAGGCTAAAATGCTCCTTTCAAATTATGGCCTTAGTTAGGTGTGTGCAGTTTATTCAATTCTACTGTGCATTTACTGGGAAACTTATATTCTTTTTGGAAACGTCTAATTTATCTAGATGTTTTAAAGTGTATAATGTGGTAAAACCGGTCGGCTAACATAAAGGATTGAGTATGCTCACTGTTCACTGGGTAGTGGCAGGGGTGGGGTGGGGAAAGAAAATAAACAGAGGGGGACTTTGCTCTGTGCTTGTTAGATTGGTTCAGGCTTTCTTACCACTGTTATATATGTTTTTTTTTTTTAGTTAATATTGCTAGATATTAAAGGATAAGTCCTAATGCCTAAAGTATGGTAGAAGTTGGAAATAACCCCTACATAAATATTCTTTTGCTAGTTTTTAGGAATAACTGTCTTCCAGGAGTGATCTTTATTAATACACTTCTTGGAGCTAGTGTCTTCATGAAATTAGTCACTAGAGTGGTAAAGAGGAAGGGTGTCAGAAGGACTTTTTGCTACTATCTCCACATGTAGAAGATGGATCTCAGTTATAACCATGAGTCCTTATATGCATTTTTGGTAAAGTACTTTTGTTTGTTGTGCACAAAGTCCATTGTTGTACAAAAAACTAAGCTTTATAGGTGTCCTGAGGTAACTGTGGATGGAAAAAGTAGACTTACTGAAAGCCAACCTAGTTATAATCAACAAAGAGATACATTGCCTCTGGGCAATGTGAAAAAGGATCTGTTCATTAGACTGGCAGCAGAGGGGCAGAAGGAATCCTGGAGGGAGAGCTGTGTGTAGGTAACCACAGATTTAGTTTGATGAGAGCCATTGATATGCCTGAATATTCTAACTGTAATATAGGGATACATTAATTCTGTGAGAACATACCTTTTTGCTAATATTTTAGTAATAAAGATATGATAATTAACTATCTTAAAATTATATGTATTATACTCTGTTGCTTTATTTATAATCTTAAAGCATTAAGGGAATGCAGTATTTTAATTTTGATTCTGTCAATACTCTATCTAGAGTCCTGATGCCATTTCTGTCTTCAATGAAATTTTTATCCCCAAAGAAGGCAAGATTGAATTTTTTTCTAATGGATTGTGTTGTGTAATGTATTATTGGTTATCAAAATATTCATGTAGCTTTGAGATTTTGAACTGGTGAGTATTAACAATTTTCGAAAAGCAATGCACATTACCATACATCTCAGTTATCTAAAATGGAGCATTGTGTGCACATGCAGGATCTAAGACATATCCAATTGAACTGCTTATGACTTTGTTTTTTGTTTCTTGAGTGTTTTGTTTTGTAATCCACATTTCAACTTAAAGATTATTTTAAAAACCTTAATAAAAGATTATTTAAAAAGAATTAGCAAAATATCTTCTTGGTAACCTATTTCATTATAAAACACAGGGAAATACAAAAGCATATATATATGTGTATATATTTAAAACAGTGAGATTAGATTGATTCTGGATAAAATTTACTTTGAAGTACATCCTTTTGGGGTACAGAAGGGAATTTGTCCTATTAGATGGAGTTTTAAACTTTGGTAAGGCTTTAGATATTTTCAAAGCTTTTAGACATTTTCATTCGGGGAAATACATTCCTCTGGGCTGATTTTACATTCTTATTCCTCAGGCTATAGATCACTGGATTCACTTTAATCATTTTAAGTATACATTTTATCTTATCCTTTATGCTACCAATTATTATCTTAGTATTTGTAGGCCATGAAGCACATGTACATTTTGCCTTACTATTCCATAGTATCCAAGACCTATGGACTAGACTACGTTAAAAACTTTAACACTTAGTTCAAGAAGAATCAATTTAGAAAGTAACACATATGTACATGGAAGCAATACTAGGAATCTCCCTAGATAGCTATCCTTACCTCATCTAGCCAAAACCCCTGGTCCTCCTTATTAATATTTATACCCTCTCTTCAAAAAAATTAGAGATAAAGGCAAAACAGTTTCTGCTTGGAAGCAAAGGGGTGGGGGGGTGAGGGAAGGGGGAAAAAGGAGGGGGATGGGGGAAGGTGGGAATAATGACCCAATCACTTTATTCACATAT